TATATATATATATATATTTATTTGTTTAATAATATTGTTTTATCACGACAGATTATTACAAAATAAAAAATAAAAGGGATTTATTGTTTTATGATTATTTACTATACTGATTTTGTTTTCTTTACAATTTATTTATTTATTTTTTAATAGTTTGATAATATTATTTTGTCTAGATAAATTATTTCAGAAGAAAAATAATTGAAGTTAATGTGTATAGTGGTATAATTATATATTGTGGTAATTTACTTTTTTACAGTTTAGTAATTTTTTATGATAGAATTGTATAACGCGAAAGAAAAGGGAGAAACCCTCGTGATGATTGTCTTTAATGTGTGAAAAGAAAGAACCCAAAGTTCTTCGGAATATTGGCGACTTCCGCAATGATTCTTAAGTTACAAGAAGAACTTGCGAATGGCTTCTTCGCCTAGTATTCCTTTTTATTAAAAATAGAAACTTAAGGCGCTGCCGTGTTACCTCGGTTCTAACTCGAAATGAAAAGAAACTCGTAAACGTTGGCATTGAAGATCGATCGTTAAAGTTTTTTGTTAACGAACGTAGAGAGCCTCTAAGCTTTTCATTTTCTTCATCGTAGTCGTTGTCGTTAGTTTCTAGCGTTATCGCTAAAATTTCTTAGGAAATAACTTAACAAATAATATTGGCAGGTGGAAGAAATGAGCTATTTTTTGTTTTGTTATTTTTTTTACTATCGTCCTTCAAACTTAGTCATTTTAACGATAGTATCAAACAAACACATATAATTAACGTTTCACATGTTCTCTACAATATTAAAGATTAATGTACATTGTTTATCAGATTTAATAATAATTAATATCGTTTTTGTATCATGCATTCGTGAAGTTGTTTAGTGATAAATCTAAGCAATATAATCTAAACACATTTAATATAAACAAAGAATATGAAATTTAGTGAACACGTTTTGCGCATTAAAATTGTTTTCCTTTTTCAAATTGAAACATTTGAAGATAAGAAGGTAGTAGATGAGGAACATGTTATGCACTTTTCATGTTTTATGAATTTCAATGAAAGAGAAAATCACAGGGAATGTTGCGAAAAATGTTTACAGTTAACACTTGATGAAAGTGTAGTTTAATTATTGAAAATGTCAAAGATGATTAAACAAGTTTCAATTGAAGAAAAAACTTTTCATTAGAAGTGTATTCTTCAATTTTGATCAAAAAGCGTTACAAGTACCTTTTTGCTTCTAAATCCTGAATCAACCAAGCAAAAGCTTGTTACAGTATGAAATTGCTCTCAAAAATTCATTTGCAACCGGTCAGGATTGCTTGATAAGGTTCGAAAGCTTGGAAAATGGATTTAGCCAGGTCAACTAGTACCTACATTAATTATTACTAGATTTGATATAGTATGATCGAATATTGTTAAACAATAAGATAGTATTGATAATAAAGACACGTTTTAGGCAGAAAGTGAATATCAAAAAATAATCTATGCTAACACAAGTCCGGAGAGACAGATCGATAGAAAGACCTTCGAATGAAATAATGGTTTTAAATCCAAGCTAAATCGGGAAAGATAATCTCCAAATAAGCGGAGTATGTACGATCGAACGTTAACGTTTGATTAAAATTTAATTTCCTGCGTTGAGATGGCGAGTGCACGCGAACGTCGTTTGATTTGAAAGGGGGGAAAAGGTCGAAGGTAAGCGACAAACGACCACAAGCTAGCGTAGTTCTGCTGATCAATGTGTCTCAACGTTACTGACACTCGACTGTGTTAATAGAACGTAATCAACGATGTCGTACGTTTCTGAATACATTTCGTTTCTCACTCTCCCTTTCATATGCTTTCTATCTTTCTCATTCTCTCTCTGTCTCTCTCTTGTGTCAGTGTATATCGTGCACGACACCTGCCTAAAAGGCGCCATATGCGCCTACCTTATGCACCTTTCAACGTTCGTGGAACGTGCGTTCCAACACGCAATGCCGTGTCTTCGTCTCTCGTGACCCTAACTTTCGTCAGAACGTTTCTACCTTTTCACTGTGTCACCGTGCATTCATGTACATGGAATCAGGAAACCGACATCCGTCGACGGACAAGCTACGTTTAAACCGTCTATTAAGAGAACTCTAAGGATTTTCTTTATTATTATTTTTTTTTCTTTTTTTTTTTATCATGGAATTTAATACGATCTTTTTATATTCCTTTATTCTCCTAGTTAGTTTTTTTCTTCTTCTTTTCATATAAAAATTACAACAATATATCTAACATAAATTGATTATAACTAGGTAGGTGTATGAAAACAAAATGACGTTATAAACATTTCAAATGCAATTTCCAATCTTAAATTACATTTGATTATTTAATGATCACGATTAATGTAAAAATGATAATGCTAATGTTGAAGTTGAGATAGACGATGGAAGGAATCTGCACGGTTTTCTCTTGGTAATTCTCCAAGTTAATATTAGTCGGTTAGTTATCTGGCACTAACGAAGTTTGTGCTAGCGAACAAGAGAGAGAAAGAGAGAGAGAGAGAGAAAGGGAGAAAGAGAAGAAGAAAGAGGAAGAGGAATACCGATTTCGGTGGGAAACGAAGGAAGACTGTTCTTTGGTCGTCACGTACTTATGTTACGCACACGCACATATAAAATGGATACATACATTTGCGTATACTTAATTTATACAAAACAAATCGTGAAATTCAGCGGCGTGAATCGAATGTACGGTAATTATTTGCATTCCTATTCTAGCGTAACTATTTTAGGTAGAAATAGAAAGAAAGAAAGAAAGAAAGAAAGGAAATCCCTGCCGAGCGAGATGGGGGAAAAGGAGGAATCATTCGAATTCTAGTAACTTGGTGTATAATAACGTGCACAACGGAAACGAACCATGTCGACGAAACGCACAACGTGACGACGAAGAAGACGTCGAAATCGCCAACGTTACGACGCATAGCATATGTTATTTTGAGCAGGTGGTACGCGTACAGGAAAAAGCTCTATTATTTTCGACAACAGAAAGAGAGAACCAAAGAGAAGAACAAAAAAAAAAAATATATATATATATAAAATAAAGGAGAACAGAAATATAAAAATAATCTAAGAAATCATCTTTTCTACTTCCATCGACTTTAAGAAGACTCTTGGTGATTCTTTTAGAAATCTTTTTCTCATTGTATTATATATATGTATATATACACCTTAAAATCCTCTTCTTTTAATACTATTACGAACAATGTACTTTGTTCATTGTTCGATTATAATAGAAAAAAAAAATATAACTAGATGATTGTGATATCTTTATAAAGTCGAAATAATTTTAATCTTTTCTATAAAGAGTAAAACAATAATTGTGATTTTCTTTAAAGTTTAAATATCTATTTTGAATACTGTTATACCATGTATGGTACTGGTTATTATAATAATGAGCTGAGTCAACAAATTGAAAACGTTCAAAAGTTTCAAGCAAATTGAAATATATATATACAATAATTATAATTAGATGATGACAGTTATGATACTCGAAGTATGGAGTTCCATATCACCAAGTGTTACAGAAAAGTTAATAAAATTCGTGCCAAAAGTGACCCTACTAAATATTCAAATTCTTTTCAGCTTCGTTCAAATTCTTTTTGCAGCTTCAAAAACTATTACGTTTGTAAGAAATAAATCATAATTATTGTTTATATATTTTAATTTGTTTGAAACTCTTTACTTATATAATTAAGATACTTATACTTTCATTCAATGTTAATAATATGTTGGTAAGTGTCGGTAATAATATACTTATTATAATTAATAAAGTATTTCATGACAAGTGTTGAAATATTTTCGTGAATTACTATTATATCTAATAAGATATTCAAAAGTAACGGAAAAACAGATGAAGATGTATTAAAGATTGTAATATACGTTTTCTAGAAAAAAAAAAAAAAAAAATCGGTTTCTTTTAAAAATTAGAAGAACTATTAAAAGAAAGTATTAAGATTTCGCAGTCGCGTAAAAGCGGGCAAGGCGCGAGATATTCCACGAGATCGACAGCCGTATCTGAGAGCTAAAGATAGATCAACCGGTGGGGAGAGCGAGCAAACGAGAACCGAGTAAGCTTTTCGGCTGACTTTTTGTACTCTGGTAAAGCGTTTTCCCGGCCTACCATCATCGCATGTCTCGTACCTTCTTCTTCTTCTTCTTTCTTTTCTTTTCTTTTCTTTTTTTTGTGTCCTTTTTTCTTCTCTTTCTAGCCATCCAAAAGTAAAGCCCTTCAGGGTTTATATTTGGCAATGAGCACAAGCGCGCAAACACCCCCAGATCTAAACTTTCCATCTCTATCTCTCTCTTTCTCTTTCTCTTTCTGTCCTACCATCAATCCATTCTTTTCTTTCCTTTTTTTCACAAGCTTCCATTTCTTTCCCTTTACCTTCCTATCTCCTCTCTTTCTTCTCCTATCTTTTGAATACACGAGAAGAAGTCGTGAGGTTTTCGAATTTAAAGAAGACACTTAAAATTAGTTGAGAGAGGACTGCTGCTTCTTCGTTGCTCCGGATTTTTTCAAGGAAGTCTCGTAACGTAATTCGAGATTTCACATCCGCATTACTTTTAACTTCTTCTTCTTCTTCTTTTTCTCCTGTAAATTCTACCCTATGTCATCACCTTACCTTCTTCTTCTTCTTCTTCTTCCTCTGTCTTATGGCCGATCCTCCCTCCCTTATTCTTATTCCAGTCTCGTTTTTATTAAAGCTTCACCAACATTTGCAACAACCTCGTTAAAA